ATATATATATATATATATATATATTGTTCCGCCACACCATTCGATCTGATCGTCGTGATCGTCGTAGTGTCTGATACATTTACCATGATTAGTTTTTCACCTAACACTTTTTTGGCTACTATATCCATCAGACTTAAAAGATTTTTCGTCGTTTTATATTTCAAGCAAGACTTGTAGGAGAGTTATCCACTTCCAATTAACTCAATGGCTCATGGACTATTAACCTTTGAATTCTACTCAAGTTTTTCTTTTATTTAAGTTACAATACGCGTTACCATTTTTCATTTGCTGCATTGTGAGAGTTATTTGCTTAGTAGCGTACTAGAACAGATAAAATGCTTCTTTCTCAAAACTAATATTTTATTTTTATCAATGGAGATAAACGTCTCCAACTTCTATAGCCCCTACTTTCATAGCATTTTCCATTAGGCGGTAATTTTCTCATCACTAAGTTGTCTTGTTTACTAAGACTATACAATGAATGAATTGCAGACATCATCAGTAGCTATCGTATCTACACATCAAGTTCTTAGTCAAGTTCTAGTAAGTAATACCGATAAAACATGTTTCAGCTACAAGTGAATATGATTCAATTCCATTGTCCTTTTTAAGGAAAAAGGACAATTGGTCTTCTAATATCCAAAGTGCTTGCATTGAGAGCACTTGCGTTTCAGCTTTTGCAGAACTATATGAGGCGCAACCAGTTTCTTGGCCAAAATTACTCGATGATTGTTCTTCCTTTGCCCACCTTTCGACTTAGACGTTGGAGGACCAACCTTTTCAATATGACGAAAGAGTCGTTCGCTGCCAACACTTCCATTAGTGAATATATCTTATAATTGTTTAAAACTCTTAGGTAGACACTAAAGAATGATGTCGACTTGAGTTCCTCAATAGATATCAGCTCCAATTATCTTTATCTCATTCAAATGGAGTCATCATATCGAGTACATGATCCCAGGCTTGCTCACAACTATTTTGGTCGTCATCAAGATTCTCATTACCCCCTGCCTGGCAGTCCGACTCTTGTGTCTGAAGAGTTCCTTGAGGTTGACAATCATGTCATAAGACTTGATATTGTAGTACATTTGACATGAATGTCAAAATGTAAAACCTGGCAATCCCATATGCCTAGCTTTGTATATGCCTCTATCTCTTTATCTCTAGAGTTATAATCGGATTTATCAAGATAGACCTCATAGGCACGTGTACCCTCTGCAGTCAAGACAATATCTACGTTGCATTTTCAGTAATATAATTTTAACTAGTAATGTTTTTATTTTAACTATAAAAACTAGGTTGAAACACATTTTTAAATAATGATAATTGTGCAAAATAATTTATAGTAAAATTTTTGAATTTAAACTAATATTGATCCATTAAACAATATAATGAAATTTACAAAACTTCAAAACACCAAGAAAATTCGTATACCGCGCTAGTGTGGATGTATACTAATTCAAACATTTGTAAGAGGAGGCACAATCTCGTCTACCTTGGCTCACTTCTTATATGCCTCTTTCTCTATATTACTAGAGTTATGAGACCTCATAGAGCACGTGTGCCTGAATAAGTTGTGTTTTCTATCAATATAATTTGGACTAGTAAGTTTATATTCTACAAATATAACAACTGACTTGAAAGACATTTTTAAATTATGGGAATTGTGCAAAATAGTTTCTAGTAAAACAAAAAAAAAAAAAAATTTAAGCTAATATTGATCCCTCAAATTTACAAACATTTCGAAACACCAAGAAATTCTTATGCTGTGATAGTGTAATTCTTATGCTGTGATAGTGTGGACGTATACTAATTTACTCATTAATTTTATTATCTTATCAACCATTTCGATTAATTTGTCCATTGTTATCTCGGTTATGAACCATATATATATATATAGTAACAAGAAATAGTATTTTACCAAAAATAGTAACAAGAAAAATCCACCAGCATTTATTGCATTCTATTTTTGGCAGCTTTTTTTTTTAAAAAATTATTCCCAAAAAATCGATCAGCTATATATGCACCATAAATTCATGGGTTTTGTGGATTTAATTTAGGTAAATTTCGACTGATGCTCACAATTTTGCGAAAGTCAAAACTGTTTCTCATTTTTTATTTAAAAGAAAAAACTGTTACTATAAAATCAGGAATTTCCAATTAGATAAAATACTATTACATATATCTTTTCCTATCCTAATTGCAACAAATCAGTTGTTTATTAAAAAAATCCAATTGCATAGAAATTAGGTTAATTTAGACAAAATTCGGTATGACAATTTTGAAAAAGTCAAAATTCTCTCATTTTTATAAAAAAATCTATTTACCATAAAATCGGGAATTTCGAATTAGGAAAAAAATTATAACATGTACCTTTACCTAAAATAATCGGATTGCATAGAAATCGGGCCTATTTTCAACATTTGGCTACTACTTTCTTTAGTTCGGATTTTATTATAAAACATAAAATAGAGTCAAATGATATTTATTTGAAATTGAAAATGAAATCCGATTGGAACATCCTAAAATTTGAGTTTTGTTTAATCTTCTAGAATACAAATTTGAAATTGATTGCATACGCTTACACAATTTTCCCCTTCATTAAATTAAGTAATTTACAATTTTAAAATAATAAGGCTATAGATTATCAAGAAATACGTTTTACAATCTCCGTTATAATTGCCTATGCAATTTTCATAAAAGCAGTATAAATCATATTATATATATCTTGCTAAATAATTTAATTGATTCATTTAAGCATATTTAGAATCTTAATATAATATAATTTGTGGCGATAGACAATGTACCAAAAGAACAAACAAATAATGTTGTGTACAAGGATGTGTTTAAATATATAAGTTACATTTTGTTTTATTCCAATACATGCGTTTTACGCTCTTCCAATCATCCAATCATCCAATTTTTTTCTTACCTTAATAAAACTAGCTCGTGCATCGCATGAGTACTACACTAGTTTGTATAAGGAGCTGATACTTTATCTTCTGCGTCACACTAAATACCATATTACCTACAATGTGGACAATTTGCATTACCAATTTACCATATATGAAATAATATGTAACTACAACTTTTGACTTGTGATTCTTACAAAATGGAAATACGATAAAACAAAAGAAAAATTTTCAGCATACAAACTAAATGGTGATGTTGTTTTAGAATATATTGAGGTGATTGGTGGGAGAAAAATTGAAAGCGAGTGAAACGTGTGATATTATAATAATTGGTTTAAAAATCTCAAAATTCTTGGTGAAATATCTTCAAATATAATGGCATTCAAACATACCCCAATTTGTAGCGGCGAACTTGTTTGACTAACAACATATACTCTCTTCTACCATTCTTATTGTTTGTTTCGTTAGTTGTGCTATGTCATACTATAATTATCTCTTGCCTTAATCATAGGCATGACCAAATAGTGTTTACTGCTGGTTGCCGTAATTTTCCTTCACTGTTTTGTTATTTACTGGGTGGATTATTTTACCTGGGTTATTTTGATAAACATCGTTTTCAATACGTCTCATTGTGTTTATGTGCAGCTAAGTGAGTCCAGTTCAGTATTTACTGTTATAATGCATCAATTTTGTGGTTTTTCTAATACTCATCATTTGGTGCAATGATAGAAGCAAGAGTCAACTGAGTTTGGCAGCAGTTCAGTGGAGAAGCAGGGTACCTGACATGACAATTATATTAATTATATGAATGTACCATGTTTATGACAACAAAATTTGAGTTCCTGAAAGAATTTCAAATCGCTCTCTGTCAGGTTCAGGAAGAAAAGAAGGAAGGTTTCTAGCATTTTCTTCGAAAGAGTACTATCTATAGGCCTTGCAAGCTTTTGTTTTCTAGTGAGGACTAAAAACTAGTTGTGGACTGTGTACTCTACATTCATCATGCTGATGATTACTTTTCCAGTATTAGTTGTCTCTGTCTATACATGTTTGAATATCCATTTTTACTTGAGCTTTGATTTTGCTTCGTGGCTGTAGTTTATGTATCGTAAATTCATGTAATGTCTGAGTTGTGCTTTGTTGCATTTTTCATTGTTAAATTTAAATTGAATGTTCTGCAAATATTTTTTTTGGCACAATCAATTACCCTGCAAACGTGTTTCTTTTACCAGTGAACGTAATTTCCAACTTCCAAAATGAGGGTCATCTGTCTTTAATTGCTAAATCTATTTCTGTCTGCTAACAGGATATTGACAAGATTGAAGAGATATGGTGTCTCTGGAATTTTGTCCTATGGCTTGCTGAATACTGTTTACTATCTTACCACGTTTCTCGTTGTCTGGTGAGTGATTCACTTAGACATGTATAAAATAGAAAAAAAAAAAAACATAAAAATACCAAATGATCTTTAGGGCGTCACGGGTTGGTTCAAGGGAAAGCATTTTCTCTCAAGTTTCACTATAGGAAATGGCACGTCCTACTTTCTGCTAGATACGACAGTTATCGTTCGTCGTGTAGTAATATGTTGTGACTGGCATATATAAGAACCAAATGTTATACAGTGAAATGCTGCCTTTGTCTTCACAAGTTCTATAATTGTATTGTTGTATTGTTATACACTTCTTATGAACTGTCTCGACAGGTTCTATGTTGCTCCTGCACCTGGGAGAATGGGTTATTTGGCTTCCGTTGAAAGGTAGAACATTCTTTTAAGGCTTCTCTACGGTTCAAAGTGCAATTTTAAGTTTCTGTTATTTGCAGGTTTCTCAAGGTAATGGCAATGGTGTGGGCAGGGAGCCAAGTCACTAAGCTTATTCGAGCAGGAGGGTGAGCTGCTCGTTACATATTAAATATTGGAATGGGTAGCTTTAGTTTGCTGCATTTCTGTGGTTGGATGCATTTATGTGTGGTATTCTTGAATTTGTCAAGACTGGTTAATAACTGCTGCTTGGTTAGGGCACTTCCAAAACCATGATGCGTTGACAAAATAATATTTTGGTCTCAACATTTGAACTTTTTTGTCGGAATTATTCTTGGCAGGGCTCTAGCACTTGCACCGTTTGTCGATACGGGGTTATCTTGGTTTACTGTAAAGTTTGGTTTGAAGTCCCAGGGAAAGGTATCTATCTGATGATTGACCAATTTTTATTACTGACGTTTAGAGTTCTTGCGTGTTCGTGAATGCTTTTTGGTAATATTTTTCTCAATTTTACAGGCATTTATGGTGATTGCTGGGCTTTGTTTCGGGTTGACATTCCTGATGTTTGTTGTAGTTACCTTGCTTTCAGCATAATATTTTTTCACATTATTTGTTATGATTGTTGTTCGATTATTATCTAACATTATTGGAAAAAAAGTGTTTCCATAAGAGTTTTTATCCCGCATTTTTTTTGGAATTAATTTTGGTCTTTTCTACTGCTAATGTAAGAATTCGGTCGGATTTTTACTAACCCTAAGAGCAGGAAATATTACAATCATATTTTTTGGTACGTGCTCACATTTTTTTTTAAAACAACACTCTGAAGGGTGGGGGTTAAGACTAGACCTCCAACCTATAAATAACAAAGGCCCTAAGTGGGCTGACTAATCACAAGTTTACAGGACTAATGTACACAGTCTAACATACAAGCTAAAAAAAAAAAAAATGAAAACAAACAAGGGAAACAACTTACAATCCTTCTCCCATTTGCTGTTTCTCTAGGGATAGAGCTAATCTGACCAAAGTGAGTGATCTTATGGTTGTGGGGGATGGAGCGAGGGACAAAGAATTGGTAAGACAATCTTTCAAGCCTGATGAGGCTGAAGTTATCTTAAAAAATCATGTTTCTAGGTTAGGCAAAAGGGACAAACTAGTTTGGATATTTGGGAAACATGAGAGATCTTATGTGAAGTCTGCTTACAATGCCTATATGTCTGAGGTAGGGAGAAACAGGATAGAGTCCAGTTCCAGTGGTGGTCCTACTCTTAGGCAGTCATGGTGGAGGTTAACTTGGAATTTCCCAGTAAAAAAATAAAATTATACACTTCCTCTTGAAGTGTTGGTACAGATTTTTGAGCACAAATGATCAATTGTTGTTGAGGAATATGGCAGTAGATAGCACATGCATGCTTTGTGGTAGAAGTGGAAGATTTAGGCCATATTCTGTTCACTTGTGCTAAAGCTAGGATGGTGTGGAAATTCATGCTTGAAATTCATAATCCTACTTTCAGATGTTTGTGGATGAAGTGTGTAGTGCTGCTAAAAACACTAGCCTCAAAGATAGAACTAGTTTATCGTCATACATCCTTTGGTGTCTATGGAAGACCAGAAATTTATGGGTTTTTCAAAAAGTGAAGATGAGTGAAAGGCAGTGCAGAAGGAGCTAGGGCAGAGTGGATGGAATTTGCTAGTTCTTCAATGCCAGGCCAGGAGCAGAACCAAAGTGATTAATAAGAAGTCCAGTGATTCTGAGGAGCAATTTTTCCAGAAGGTAGGACAATATTGTCAGTGCATTGAGCTCTTCAAGGAACCAACTGGAGATGTCCTGTCGAGCAAAGAAAGAGGGAGAAGAAGCCAAACTTTTGAATGCAAAACTCTGGTATGGAGGCTGCAAGGAAGGAGCACTGCTTGAAGCAAGCTATTCATGCAGGTTGGCAGGAATGCAGCTGTAAATTGAATGACAAGAATCTGGTGTTCAAGCTGCAAAGGAAATTAGCTCATTTTGATTCTTGTTGTTGATCTATAACTGGAGATGTTTTTGCTCTTTTGGACTCTTTTGTTTTATTCTCTTTTGTCTCTAGTGTTTAGTTTGTTGGCAGTCTGTTTGGTTCTTGTTGAAGGGGTAGTAGAAATGGGCCATTACACTTGTGATGTATGCGTCCATATGGGTGTTCGGTTGTACATTTTTCAGAGATTTAATATATTTGATTGTCGTTGGAAAAAAATAAATAAAAGGACAACAACAATGTACATGCTCACATGTGTATTGCACTTTGTATGTTGTTCACTTTTTTTTTTTTAAACAGAAAATGCATCCCTTATGACGGGGATTGAGGTCAGATCCCCAATCTCAACCGTTGAATGGATAGGATAAAGCCCCAAATGGGTGAATATATAATCTATCTACATATGGGTTTCGGCCCAAAGAGAAATTGAGCCCCCTGGATACATTGTATCGGAAGAAGGAACCCCTGGAAACATAGTATTGGAAGAAGAAAGAAAACAAAAATAAATGTTAACAAAGTGGACCAACAGGTGGCTAGTAGTACAATTTGCACCATTGTGGGTTAAAGCAAAAATTAAAGGCCTAACCTAATAAAAGCAAAAAGAAAGATAGTCAAATTATTCCATCTCCACGGGTCCAAGTAGACAAAGTCGAGCGGTGGCAGCTTGGAATGTGCATTTCTCTGGGTCTATTATCTCGAGTCAAGCTAGAAATTAGTCGATCGGTTCCCCTCACATTACGTGCGTGATCATGTGATGATAGATTGGTTGATGCATGTCTCTGATACGCATGAGTAGGCAGAGAATTTGCACGAGCCTTGTTATCCCAATATTAGAAGTGTGGCGATAACATCCAACTCTATATGTTGCATTTAGATTGTGCAACTATTTGAAGACCGGCCTGAAGAGTATTTCACGCAGTTTGACAATAATCTGATGACAAACTTGAACCTTCATTACATTGTTTACAAGTTTTAACTAGTAGAGTAGAGTACACTCGTGTATTACATAGGTTAATAAAAATATATATATATATATATATATACACCTAAACTTAAGAAAAAATAATAGAGAAATTTTTATTTTTACTCAATAACTCTTACAAACTTACATTGGTTGATGTTGATGATGGTGTTATTTTATCATCATCACTATTATTAATATTTAAAATGATACTCCGCACGTATGCTTGATACTTCTTCAAATTATAATAATTTTCTAATCCATATAATATAATGGACATGGTATAAACTTTAAGTGATAATTACTTTATTATTTCTCAATTAATATTGATAGAAGTAAATACATATATTTAACTTAGCAATATTGATATCAAATCGGGCCTCTTTAAAAGATGATAATTTGATATATAGTATACGAAAAATCTGATAACAGTTTCCAAATTTATTAACTTTTAAATATATTTATAATATATGTTAAACAAATCTTTTATAATTTTAAAATTCATAATAGACATGGTGTAATTAACTTTAGTAAAAAATCATCGTTTTAATCTAGAAGTGTTCATATCGAATAATCCAGATTAAAAATCGGATAGTGAAAGTATATACATGAATCCATAGGCAATTGAATTTAGAGATCTGACTTTATAGATCTACAAGTACATGATCCTTTTGGATAACCTTTTATCTTTCTACGTATTTTTTTTTTCCTATACGATGATGAAGATAATATGATATGTATGACTTAGGGATCACAACTCCTTATATAATTCTATTATATTGGTCTTCACTATTTTAGTCCATCTTAAAATTAATAAGATCCATTAGTCTCTACACATTAAAGGCTCACACACTATGGATACTTTAAAGTCCAATAACTTAAATCTTGGTTGATCTCTTTTAGGGTCATTTACATTCTTGCGTTTGTGATTTGTAAATAATTGCATATGTATAATGATAGAGAAAAATTTTCACTTGTGTGAGCAAATAATTAGGAACATGCATAATAGTAGTTTCTCTTCCTTGGTTTCCGTAATTGACACCAATTAAACTAATTTCTCTCACATGATAAGAATTTTCTCTTACACGGTAAGCAATAAAAACACGTTTCACGTAGATTAGATTGAGAAAAAATAGGGAATTTGATTGGTATCATCTTTTTTATATTTTCGGTCATATCCACCAGCCGAATAATTTTTTTCAGATAAATATACTACATATATACAAAATATATACTACAAACATACTCTATAAACATTTTTAATAAAAAAACACAATCAATAAACAATATATATACAAAAAGTATACAATATGTATACCTAGATCGTAGCGATCCTTATGATTTTCAATTCAAAACTTTCACCCAGACTCGGCCCGTACGAAAACAACACAATCAATAAACAATATATATACGAATAATATACAACATATATACCCAAGACATGCCGAACCTTACAATTTTCAATTCCAATCTTTCATATTACATATATACCTGCAACCATACAACAAGAAATAAAGGTATAAATATACTACATATATACAACATATATATCGTCTGGTCTGGTTCTCCGCTCAACTAGAAACTAACCACCAAATTCTTCAATGGCCTCTGCCGATAACCCCGCCGCCCCTGACCACTTCAATGAAGACGAGGACCTCTTCAATGACAGGAATTCTCCGATCACGATGAAGAGTATAGAAAATATACAAAATATACAGATGTCTTTCGGTCGTAGCCGTGTTTGTCTTTGCCGGACCACAAGTCGTTGTATACGTCATCGTCCAAGAAGGACGATCAATCCAAAAATGCCGACTGTCACCACCATGCTTCAGGAGAAAAAAAAAAGAAGACGAAGAAGATATGTAGAATTTGGAGAAGAGAGAGTGTGAGAGGGAGGGAGGAGGAGAGAGAGAGAAAATGATTCCGTTAAACTGGTGTGTCGTATTTGGAAGCTCATAAGTTTCCCATAAATTAAGATAATTATTGATACAATATATATTTGGTAAATCTGCAATTAAAAACCATATTTCTTGCTATATTGTAAATATTTACAAAAGAATTTCATTCATGTAATAAAATATTAACTATCTAGTGTAGGGAGTAATTTTCTCATCTCTTTTATTTGTGCGTCTTTATTTGTCAGTCAAGATATAATAACTATTTCACATATAAGTCTAATGCAGAATAATGATCCAATATTCTCCCACTTGGCTATATATGCAACTTTATAATTAAGTATTGCGAGTGTAACAATAAATTTTATGGAAAACATAAAACTTTTTGTACAACTTGAATATATTTCGATCAAATGATAATGCGGGTACAACCTCTATTTATCTCATCTGATTCTTCTCTTCATAAATTTGGGATTGAGACCTTCAAAGATGGATTTGACGAATGAATCTCCTTCGGGCTTGGTCTTGAATTTCTCTAACATTAATTCTGGGATCGAATGACTTATTCCCGTATTAAATGTTAGGCCTTGACTTGATTGAATATGACTTCTTGGAAGACTTGATTCTTTGATCTTCTTGAAAGAGGGATTCTGACTTGAATAACGTTGATTCGGGGACTTGATAGTTTTTTTCCGGATCAAACGCTATGTTGGTTGAACTTCTCAACGAACGCGGCTTGAATGTCGTTTGAACGTTGTTGATATTCTTAGATTGACTTGAGAGCGTGAAAGTCGTCTCTTTACTTCTTGAGGAAGACCCGCCACCTCCTTTTCTTCTTCGTGGCCTTCTTCTTCATTAAATGGACTTCAGACGATTCTTCAAGAACTTCTTCAAATCTTCAAGAGGGTTCTTGAGAGCGCTTGAGTTTGAGACTTTAATCTTTGAGACGTGGTTGATATTTTTGAGGTGTTTGAGGTGTTTTAGGTGTGATTTGTGGAATTGAGGAGAGCCCTATTTATAGATGTAGGAGAGAGAGTCTTGTAAAAGAAGATATCAATTTGATTGGTCCTTCTTGATTTGATATGATCTCTTTCCTTATCCTAGAATTTGATATAATCTCTTTCCTTATCCTAAGATTTGACTTGGTGTGCAAGAAACAATTACTTTATTAATTAAATATCTTATTTATCTTGGATTTATGTCCCAAAAAAATAAAGACATTAATTAATAAAATATTAAAATTTCGATGTCTACAAATGCCCCCTTGAGACTTTTTCACAGACAAAATATCTTGGTAGTGAATGAGTCTCAAAATCTTGAATTTGGTTTGGACATGCAGATAGTTTAAACTCTTATCAAGGAGTTCTTCATTTAACTTGATTTGTAGATAGTTTATACTCGTATCAAGGAGTTCTTCATTTGACTTGATTTGTAGATAGTTTAAACTCGTGTCAAGGAGTTCTTCATTTGACTTGATTTGTAGATAGTTTAAACTCGTGTCAAGGAGTTTCTCATTTGACTTGATTTGTAGAGAGTTTATACTCGTATCAAGGAGTCTTTAATTTGGCCTGATATTTAGATAGTTTAGGCTCGTATCAAGGAGCATTTGAATCTGCAAATAGTTTAGGCTCATATCAAGGAGCATCGAATTTGTAGATAGTTTATGCTCATATCAAGGAGCGTTTGAATATGCAGATAGTTTAGGCTCATATCAAGGAGTATTTGAATATGCAGATAGTTTAGGCTCATATCAAGGAGCATCGAATTTGTAGATAGATTATGCTCATATCAAGGAGCATTTGAATATGTAGATAGTTTAGGCTCATATCAAGGAGCATGTGAATTGGATATTTAGATAGTTTTGGCTCATATCGAGGAGTTTTATAGATAGTTTAAGCTCATATCAAGGAGCATCAATGAGTTGGTGGAGCTCTTCATGTAAATTGCCCCCCATGGAAGTTGAAAAGAATATGGAAGACCGGTTTTGTTTCTCCTCCATTCGGATGAAGGTTTCATGACTTGAAGAGACACCATCCTTAGTTGTGTTCTT